GTGATAATAAGTAGTTCAAATTGGAAACATCTTGAAAACCAAGTTATATATATTTCAGGAATTTAAAAGTAGCTCATCTTAGAAATTCGGCTACTACTAGATCAAAAGTTGATAATAATTTATATATGAATTTTACATATATACGTGTAATTCATCTTAAAAGACGCATCATTACTTGGTCAAAGGATTTAAAAAAAATTTTTATTTCAGGGATTTTCGTGAAGTTAACTTTAGAAATACGAGTAAATGTCAATATTGTGTCAAAAGAATTTATAATATTTTATGTATATATTCTACAGATATGCAAATAGTTCAACTTGACGATTCGTACCATTATTGGAAAAAAAAATGAACAGCACTTACACATACATATATTGTAGTAATATACGAATAATTTAGCCTAGAAACTTATGTCATTACTGGGTTAAAAAAGATTTAAAAAAAAGATTTATATTTCAATGATTTACATGTAGTTAATCTAATGTAACATGTAACATATATACTCTAAAGATATGCGAGTACTTTACTTTACAAACTTGTGTCATTACTGGGCCAAGGGATTTATAACCTCTATTTCAAGGATTTTCGTGTAATTAACGTGTTAATACTAGGTCAAAAGAATTTAAAATATTTTATGTGTATATTCTACAGATATGCGAGTAGTTCATCTTCGCGACTCACACCATTACTGGATAAAAAAAAATGAAAATAAGTTATATACAAAAATTTATTATTTTGAGGTCATCCGTAATAGCACTTTAAGATATATGATCAATTTTGTTCATCTTGGAATTATTATCACTGCTTTAAAAGAATAATAACAGTAATAAAATTAATATTTATTGTCATTTTAGAAATCTACTTACATCATTCATACAACATAATATATCATGACTTTTGTAGATCAATTCAATTTCCACCATTTCAAAATATATTAATATATGTATAATAAATATTCTTAGATCAATTAACTTTGAGAAAAAGGAAAATCATAGTGAATGGTTTCTAAAGGTTTGTGATACTTTTAAATTAATGAATTACTACAAATACATATGGTCCATATAAATTAAAAATTAAATTCACAGATAAATCCACGCCATACAGTACCGGTATTAGTCGACCGTGGTGTATCACTTTCCGATAGTCATGCAATCATAACATATTTAGTTGATCAGTATGGAAAAGAACAACATGAGCATTTATATCCAAAAGATCTGCTTAAGCGCGCTATCGTAAACGAGCGTTTATATTATGAAAATGGAGTTTTATTTCAAGCAGCTAAAGATTTTGCGGTATGTAAAAAGCGATTTTTTTTTAAATTATATTAAATTCTGTTAAGTAATAAGGGTGATACAAACGATTCACTTAAACCGGATGGAGTGTATCTATTGTATTACCGTATACGACTCAGTGACTTAAAATATTTCTGAACACTAAACGAAATATAACGTTAACTAGATGTTAACTAGGACTTCTGCAGTTGACTAAGTTACATTGTGTGAGTGCGGACATCTTTCTTATAACTGTGTATAAATTAATTGAAAGAAATAATATGTTAGTATAGTTATCTTAACGACTGTAACCTGTCAATAAGTCCCTAACAAATCTTCTCTTTTGTATTAAATTAATTTATAAAAAATTAATTAAGTACTCAAATTTATTTTCAGGCCAGAATTTTCTATGGTGGTGAAATTTCTTATAATAATCATAGTAAAAAATTATGCCATAACGCCTATAAATTCCTTGACAAATTTCTAAATCATAGCAACTATGTTGCTGGAGATCAATTGACTGTAGCCGATGTATCTATTAATACCTCTTTAATAACATTGGATAAATTGGTGCCAGTGGAAGAGCAACGGTATAGTCGAAACAAATTTTATTTGTATAATAACAAATTCAGAAAACTAATCTTTACAGATATCCAAAAATTCATACTTGGATGCAACGTATGAAGAATGAGCTGCCGGACTATAAAATGAATGAAGCTGGAGCTCAACAATTGTTTCAACGTTTCGAGGATTCACTTGTTGAGAATATGACAAAACATGGTTGAGATGAGATATTTATATTCTGACTAAAATTTCAATACTAGGGTTTTTGTAAATTAATTACTGTGTAAAATATTTTGTATTGTTATATATAAATATATAAATAAATAATTTGTCTTGTTGGGCTATTTTATTTGACAGAATTTAATGTATATAATATCATATAATATTAATATATATATGTAAAATGAATAATATATGATATAATGTATAATACAATATTTATATAATATGAAATAAAATATGCATATCATAAATGTTTATTATACAATATAATATTGTGGCGTATGTTCCAACTTGTGACGTGATCATTCGCTATCGCTGGATCCCGATAAGTAATTAAATAGTAATCGACTCTAGTTGTGTATAGCCGTGTTTTTATTGCTCTTAGTTTTTATGAAAAACCAACTCACAATTTTCACCAATCATAATTATATATAAAACTTATTTTCCAACAAACTATTAAATACCTAGAAAACTATTTTTAATATATTAATTTATATACTATTAAATTTGAAAATTATTTACTAATTTTTAATTTTCAAATAACAAATAATATTCAAACATCAAATAATATTTAAGAGATTTAGGATTTCTGTGCAACAGGCAATTATGTCCTTATGACCTTAAAATACAATTGACCCTAATTGTTGTGCAGTAAAAATTTCGTCTGTCATATTAGCGACAAGAACTGCAGCTACAAAGCAAAACCAAGCAATCACAAAAAATATGAATGGGTATCTCATCATCTTCCAGGCAGAGGTTACATTCTCTCACATCAGAATGAGAATGAACTACCTTGTAAAGATGACAGTGTGATTATGGTATCTGATCAATAAATGAATTAGCAACCTCAGTTCTCTCCTACTGAGGAATAGTAGATCGAAAGTATAAATCAGTTATTATTTGGATTATAGTCACCAGAAGTAACTTCTTTTGTTTATAATAAAACCGTTAATTAGTGTCCAACCGTGAACCTTTAGAATTAAATGTTAATACTCCATACTATGAAATATTATCTAGATAAAATATCATTTTATTAATTGGCTACATCCTTTGCGAAGATTTTTTTTATGATTTTTAATAACATACTTTATATATATTTATATTTATTTATTTATATATTTATATTTTATTTATTTAAATATATATTATATATTTTATAGAGTTTATATTTATTTTTAATAAATTGTTATTACGATCATTGTTCAATACATTTTTTTGAATTACTGAATTCAGGTCGTTAATCTATGGTCTCTGCTCGACAATAGGAAAAAAATTTAATATATAATTAATAAATTTTGTAATAAAATTTTCGTTTCCATTATTTATTCATTAATTTTTAATTTTATTTTAATTGTTTTTGATGAATTTAATATATATGCACCAATTAATAAATAAAATACATATTTTAAATAATAAATTTTAGTTTATGTATATATATTTTACTTTTTATTGGGTCAACATACACACAGGAGTACTTTTTGAGAATCAGTTTTAAATAAATCAATTTTTGTTGCAGTGCACAAAACATGAATTTCAAAGTGTAATTTGCTTCCATGAATTCAATTTGTTTTTGTGTACAATGCTTTTAAAGAAAAAGTTCAAATTTATGCGCTATAGTCGAGTTAAAAATTTCGTTATAAAATTACATAAAAATAAAAATAATAAAAACTATAAAATCTATAAACTATAATCTGGGTGCCTTTTGATTTTTGCACACAAAAAAAACTCTTAATATCACGTATTTAATTAATTTGGCAACTCTGTTGTTATTTTGCTATTCACAAAATTGCAAAATACGATAACAGTAGCATTTAACTGTTGTTTTCATTTTTTGTTTTTATTTCAATTGAGCATTTACTTGCGATGGTTAAACCGTGTTTGTATTTTGCATTATTTAGTCCGCCGGCGCGTGCTTGTCTGATAACGGCAAAATTAATTGGATTGGATATAGACGTAAAGTGAGTTAGTCACAAAATTTCGGGCTTTTATTTTCTTAATAATTATTTATATAATCTTATTTAGGCATGTTAATTTTGCACAAAAAGAACATTTAAGTGATGACTTTATAAAGGTGAGCATAACATAAATAAATATATTAGTTTTTATGTTTACTAGGTATTTTGTTATATTTTCATCAGTTAAATCCACAACATCAAGTGCCGATATTTGTTGATGACGATAATGAAATTTATGTTGACAGGTAAGTAGACTTGCGGACAGACAGGCGGGCATTCATATCGAATTCGCTAGTGTTTATGAGCAACTATTTTATAATATATTTTAAATATAAAAAATTAACATGTTTATTAAAAAATACTTGAATTCTTTTTACAATTAACTATTTAATGGATTATATTTATTAAAACAAGAATAATTTCAAATCTTTTAGTCATGCCATCATCTGCTTTATGGTTTCTAAATATGCTGAAGACGACAGTTTGTATCCGAAGAATTTAACACAGCGCGCAAGAGTCGATCATCGTTTACACTTCGAAAATGGAGTATTATTTCAGGTTATTAAGGACTTGGTGGTAAGTAAAAAATATATGTTAATAAGTAAGAAATTCATTTTTAATTATTTATACAATATCTGTATTTTATATATGTTTTTTATATATATATATTTTATATTATATATATATATTATATATATTTTATGTGGTTTTTGGGTTTGATTATTTATGATTTATTAATTTTTATTTTTATTGAAATTGCACCTAGTATACTTAAACTAATTAGCGGTATTAATATGGCATCATTTACTAATAACCATGAAACTTGTATGAATGTCTTTATATTGTTGAAAATAAGTAAAAAGTCTTATTTGTTACTTATAAATTAAGGTGACCAAATGTTAATTGCCTTTAAGACCAACATTTTAAATAAGTTCAGTTTTTATCTCTTCTTCTTCCATACAAGCGACATAATGCTCACAAACGATTTATTTTGTACTTACAAGCACATTTAAGTAAAAAATTCTAACATTAATATAAATATTGTTTATTATCAACAAAATTCAAAAATTAATTTTAACATTTTCCACAAACTATTTCACTAAATACAAGTACAAGTCAATTTATGTTTAGACATATAAACATATATAACATTAAAAACATTAGTTATATAGTGGTTTGTATTTATTAATTACTATTTAATTTATTATTATATAGAACTTAAATTTTTAAAATTAATTATTTTATTAAATTCGAAAAAGTATGTTATGTTTGCTTGTTTGGACATTTTAAGTTGTCAAGAAACTATTCCAACAATTAATATAGAATCAAAAATTTTTTAACCTCTAAAAACAAAATGCATTTAAACAGTAACTTCATTTGTTGCCGGCAGTTTTAAGTTATATCTAACAATTTTAGGTATATTTTTTTAAAAAGGATAGAAAGTTTTGAAAATTTGTATCTATTTATTTTTAGTAGAATTTTTGTCTATTGACGAAAATATGAATATAAATAAAGCATTAATTTATTCATTATTGGAAACGAATTTAAATCTCGAAAATAGGAACATGTTATTAAAACGGCAGGAATCAGGGCAACATATTAGTAACGGCACTCATCCGTTAAATCGGATTATTTGGTCACTATGTTATTGATAGTCCAAAATATAATACTAAATATAACTTATTCATCTTTATTCTGGTGTTTAAATAATCCAAAATGCTATAAGAAATAATTGGCTTGTATATTAGCAGACAATAGAAATTAATTTAGTTGTAAGGAGTCTTTAAATTTCTTGGAATGTGTACTATGAAATTAGTACAAATGGGAAACTTCTTCAAGCACTGCCGACTTTATTTTGAACACTCCTCAGCAAAAGATACAACACATATACTGCAAAATAAAATCGTGCGTGCATTCATTCAATGTTTTCGCTTCCATCCTTTAAAATAGAATAAAATTTGCATAGAAGCCGGCAAAAATCCAATTGTATACGAAGAAAAACGAGCAAAACTGATGAAAAATCAAAATATTTTGATTTCCTTCGCTTCGCTTGTCATTCCTGCAAATGTTACTATTACACACGAGACTTTTATTACACACGAGAATATTGCGTTTATCGCGTCCGGTGTCATTTGTCATACGCCAGGCATCATGTGTAATACCCGATTAAGAAATTACCGTTGCAGTTAGTCCAAAGAGGATAGAGAATTTATTTGTCTATAAATAATAAGTTGACTGTAAATAACAGAGATTTAAATTAAAATTTCCGCAAAATTAAAATTAATCTACATTCTGTAGTTCTTGACATCTATTAGCAACTTCCGTAGCAGTTTCAGTGTTTGCAAAAAAAATGAACCAAATAGGCTTCCCCAATAACAAGGAACTATTAATAAAATATCAACAATCTAATTTCGACCATAATTCTACATATTATTATATCGTATAATACTCTTTGTGAAATTGAATATAGTAGACAAAATACCGTAATTACCTAACTGGGTCCCGTACGTCTTTTTTCTGTTCTCGAACCTAAAATTTACATTTTGAGAAACACTTTTCATTTAATATCAAAAATGTGTTATTCTGTAAAGGCGACGAAACAAATTTTGATTGATTGATGTTTGTGTGTTGTGCTTAATAATGATCCAGATACTTGCTTGTCACATAGAATCTAGTGCTTTCTTATTTTTTATTGTTTATAATTTCTTGTTTTCCCCTGTACATAAAATTGCCTAATAAACCTAATTTAAGGCGCGTAACATTTACGGTGGAGAAGGCGAGTTCAATCAAAAATCTTTAGATATGTGCCAGAATGCCTACTGTTTTCTTGAGAGCTTCTTGCAAAATGGAAAATATGTTGTCGGTAATACGATGACAGTTGCTGATATATCGATAAACACAACTTTGATTACCTTAAATATGTTAATACCAGTAGATCAAACAAGGTTTGTTTCGTTGTGGTTGTTCATGAAATTTTGAAATAAGCTTTAACATTTTAGATATCCAAATATTGTCGCATGGATGGAACTTATGAAAAGTTTACCTGACTATGAAGATATAAATGTGAAGGGTGCTGATGCTTTATATAAACGTATTATAACAGTGATGGCTGAAAATAAAAATAAATCAAATTAATAATTTAATATGTGAACATTGATACTAAAACGAAGTGGTTTCTGGTGTTATGGTTAAATATATTGTTTTTAAATATAAAATCCATATTTTAATACATTAAAATATTTTAATTTTTGGGTATAATTAAATTTATGTTGCAAATGTAATTGTCGTATTCGTTTCTACTAGTACCCAATTTGTTAAATTTCTATTAATTTTTTCATATATATATATATGTAGCTCAATATTAATGTATAATGTTTTTTAAATAAAAACCAAAATGACCTGTCTTATTAAAAAATAAACATATATAAACATTTAAGCTAATTTTTAAATAATTTCACTCGGAATTTTATAAATAATTTAAATTATTTGCCAAATCTAAATTTATAAAAGAAAATTAAAATAGTATTTTGTGAAACTAATGGGTTGTTCATAAAGTAATACCATTTTTTTACCAATGAAATTTTTAAATGAAATTTTTTGAAGTCATTCTTTGTGTTAAATTGAATCATTTAAAATGTTTAAATTTAATATAGAATTTAATAGACATTTAATTTACAAAAAGTTAACATTATTGTGTCATTTTTTTTGTAAAATTGATTTGATGGTATTATGTACATATGTGTGATAAATTAATATTTTATAATTACTTCTAAAAGCAATGTCACACTGGAAATATTTATTTTTTAGGAAAATCATCCTGAAATTTTTGAGTTTTATGTAGAATTTTATTACTAATCGAAATTAAAAATATTATATAAGAATATTTATAGTATATTCTTTGAAAATTTCAAAAAACAACATCATCCGACAGTTATTGTTTTTCAGTAAAATTTAAAATTGAATCTAAATAAAATATAAAAAATGAAAATTTTTTTACGTATTTGGAGAAAATTTTTTTTTTTTAAATTTAACGGTTAATATTTTGTACTGAATTATAAACAATCTCAATTGCTCAAACGATTTCTTAAAAGTTCAATCAATTATCTTTAAAACGCAACAAATTTTAAGTTTCTATCATTTATATAGTCTGAGATATGGCTATTTGAAAATGTGTTTACAATGCCAATTCTTAAATTCCCATGGGTTCGTTCATATCTCCTAGGAAAAAAATTACAAAATTTTCTCTTGTGATACAGGTCTTCTTAAAAAATTGCTGAAAGGCATATGAGCTTTATAAAATACATAGCCTAAACATAAATAAATACAAATACAAACGATAGCCAAGTAGAGGTGTGTTACCATTGAGCTCTGGAGAATACACTTCTTGCCTATCTATGTTGTTATGGACAATTTCTAAATGCATTATACATATAAACAAAAAACAAACCAGAATTCAGAGCGACATGGCAAACATCAAGGATTATTATGAGCAAGAAATTATTAAACGGATAAATCCAACTTTGTCACTTACTGTCTTATCAACCTCACAGTTAACCCCAAAAAACGAAGCGGAATCGAGTAATAATGAAATGGAGTACTTTTTTTTCGCAGTTAATTAGTGTATCTGTGTATAACCAGATTCCCTTTTGTCCAAGTACCCTCTCTCACCCCCATAGGCTTCATCCTTACACGTAAGGACCGCTCAAGAGGAGCGGGATGTGGAGTTGCTTTTTTGTACACACAGTGAGCTAAATTTGCCGCCGTCGAATGACGATTATTTGTAGGTAATAGGTAAGATTTATTAATATAATAAACATCTACCTGTCACCCAACACTAGCTGTCCACCGTAGCACACCTCTAATATTTTTTACCTTCTCGAAGCGGACTAGCGTTTTGTGTTGGGGTGTTTGAATGCTTACCATCCTTTGTGGTGTTCCAATCTACCAACTGATCAGAGGGCCCTGCAATTGGCTTCACAAATTGACGATTTATCTTTTAGTGTACCAAATGAGAAACAAATTTTAGTACTCAACTTATTTTATTAAGTATTATCCATACACTTTATCTTGGTGTAGATTACATTTATATAAATCACACAGCCCATTTGCTGGTATAGTTTCTGCTGGCAGCTATGACTAGCGTTGGTCGTCTCGATGAACCGCGCCTTGAACCTATTTCTACTCTACAGCTCTACTTATAATGACAACTTCCATCTGTTTTTCTGCTATAAACACTTATATGTTACTCATAGATCTTTGTAGACCCGTTAAAAGTATCAAATTTTTCCACCTCGATTCAAGTCCTATTTACGCATTTGGTCTGCCCTTATCCTAAACAACTTTTCCATTTCTCAATCTACTTTTACCTCATATTCTAACCCTAACTGATGTATTCGTATTGTAATCTCTTTTATTTTCCTTATATTATAAATATATTTCCAGTAGTTACAAGATCATCAACAAGTGTACTATTATCAGTACCTCAGTTGTCTAGCGATAACTAGTAAATGTAATTTTTACATTGGTTACACAAATGACGAGATAACACGTCTACTTATTTTTAATTTTAAATTTAGATATTCTTGAAACTAACCCATATTGATATATAAGGTAATGGAGAAGTTGATCAAAATAGTTATCTTTATTAAAATCCTTTATCAAATAAGCGAATTCGAGAAATTTTAGAATTAATTCTAAATTTCTATCTGAACGGAAAATTGATAAACATTTATATGTTGTATATTAGATAAAAAGAATATATTGTTGATTTAGTATTTTACAATTTTCTTTAACTTTGCTTTTATAATACAATATCTTATTAGCATACAAATGAGTTTTTCTTCTCTCTGTCATATAATTAATTTATTCATATTTTAAAATTAATTTATATTTCATGTTATTTCAATAATTTTCTATATTGACGCAAGTGCTTTTTTTTAAATAAGTTTAAAACTAATATGTATATAAATTAGTTTATTTACAAAAATATTAATTATTTACAATTATTTTTCTTTAAATTTTTGCTACTTCTTTCTCTAAAATTAGTTATTAGTTTTACATATATTCTAATAATTAATTTAAAAAAGGTATCAAATCAAATCTAATTATCTCTACAATATATATTAGAAATTTTAATTTTTAGACTATATAACTATTTAACTATGATACTTATTAAAATATATTTCAAGTACAACATGCTTTATAAATATAAAATATTTTTTTATGTCTTTCATATGTTTGGTTATTTTTTATCTCTAATATCTTTTGTTTTTTTTTCCAAAATATTTGAGTTAGATTTAATGGAAGCAACGTTTTATAATTTTTCACCTAATACTTCTCTAAATTAAGATTGAAGTATACGTAATGAATGTAGAGCTCAGAACGTCTGAATCAATACGAGGGTATTGAAAATAATTAATTTTTATTTTGTATGTACTATATAACTATATAATTATTGATTTAAAAAAGAATTATATATTTGAAAATTGGACAAACTACTGATAAATTTTAATTAACTGATATTTTTGATTACTTTTAATTTATATAATAGATTTAATAGGAGCCTTATTATTAATAATATTCGGCCGATTATAACATTAACATAACTGCAAGTTTTTTTTTCTGTGTAGAATCTAACTTTGTAGATTCTCTATTTTCTATATTTGGCATTTAAATGGAAAATATCATAATTTTTATATATATATAAATTTTTTTTTTGATATTACAGTTTACAACAAACAATCTAATTTTAGATTTCACAATTTGAGTTGTTATAATAGAATCAGTAAAGTACTTTATCTGTGTATTAATATTAAAATAATCTATAATATCTAATTGTAAATATTAGTGCTTCAAAGTATTCGACATTAATTACGTCTTGAGTCCAATTAGTTGACGTCTATTCGAATTCGAACATTTGCTATTCGAATAACGAATCTGTTTTATGTTTCATTTTATTTATTTAATTCTCATAACAGTCAATAATTGCACACAATACAATTGAGTGTCTAAACTGGCTTGATTTTAGCAAGATTTTTATATTCGAAACCGAATATGCAGTATTTTCGAATTTTGTCTTCGAACAAAAATATATCAAAGACTTAATAGTCAAACACTTACCAGTGTTGTTAAGTAAAAATATATCAGAATTTGAGGAGTAAATATGTGCATATTTGTTTAAATGAATAAGCAAATTCTCATAAAAATAAACAACGTACCAAAACAGTAGTAAAGGAAGGAATTTGACAAATGTGTTATGATATTCATATATATATAATAATACATATATAAAATATATATAATATATACAATAATATATTATTATCGGTATAACATGCCTTTTGGTCATGTCCAAAAAGAGCCAAAAAATTGAAGTAATTATTTGTCATATAACTGTCTATGGAAGATGTTCGTAACAACAAATGGTGGGGCGTCGAATGGCATTTGAATATATTCGAGCGACTTGGAGTGCTGTCCAGTTTAAATTCTAGACATTTCGAGCAGTTAGAAAAATATTTGAAGCACTAGTATAAATAAAAAAATAAAGTTATTTTTAATATACAGTTCGGAACTAAGTAACAATATTTTAAACTAAAATAATATTAATTAGTTATTAACCAAATAGATGTAAAATATTATTACAATATCATGTAGATCTTTTTAGGGCCATACAGATAACATAAAAGCCGTGTTTTATTTTAAGTGCATATCTCCATTAGTTAGTGCTAAATATAAGACTCGCATATAGTGCTGTAAAATATTGTGGCAACGTCATCATATCGATATATAAGATATTATATGAATTTATGTTATTTTGTATGCGTTATCGTTCTTGCAAAACGTAGATATATTTTTCTATATGTAAGTGTGCGAAGTTAACGCTTAAGACAAAAATTAAGCAGATATACATATGCACCAGAAATAAAACACGACTAATATTAACAATCATATATCTGTGTAACATTTATATGTAGTTTAGATCTTGAAACTATACATACATATTCTGTAACATCTAACTCTTTAGATAGTAGTATTATGTATTAGAATTATTATATTGTTGTTAATTCCTTTTTCTTTCTATAATTTGTTTACAATATATTTCTACATTTATATATCAAATTGGCGTTGTAAATTATTTTTATAAATGAAATGCTATGTCGCTTTGATATTTAATTGCTTCTTCGTACAAATTCGTACATTCAATTTAGTGTAAACCAATATGTCTTAAGCAGCAAATAATAAATACAAATATAATTGACTATTTTAATTTGGTATAAAAATTGTATCAAAATCACACCCTGTATTTAATAATTTAATTGTGAAACAATTGAATTATAAAATAAAAATAAAGACAAATATATAAAGCAATCGATAAATTGATAAACATAAAATATAAAAACCTTGAATTTAATCAAAGGTCGTCCAATTGCTCATGCCGGCCGTTGCAAATGCAGCTGTGCCATTGGTATTATTTGTGTTTGAAGTGCTGGGCGTTGTCGTCAATGTAAATTGATCTAAACCATATTTCCGCAATAGTTCAAAGTCTTCATCCGGTGGTGGCATGGGCGGTGGCAAGCTTGTTGGCAGCGGTGGCGGTTTTACTGTTGGTGGCTTTAATGGTGGTTTCGAATAATCAGGCAAATAGTATGGATATAATGGATTGCTTACGCTTAGTGTGGTCATCATTGATGCGGATGCACCTGCTGGCAATGTTGTTGATTTTTTATTATTGACAGCCGATACTGGAAATGGTCGTGCATTTTGATTAAGTGGATCAAAATCTTCCAAATCAAAACTAGCATTACGGCTATCGTCCAGCGATATTAAATCCTTCATTGAGTCTCCAGTTTGTGTTGATGATATAGGTGAACTATTTGCTGCTTGTCGATTATGTGGTTGTAAAGAGCGAATAGACTGCATAGAAATATACAGAGTTTTATTAAAAATGTGATTCTAACTAGTAACGCGTGCAAGGAAGTAAATAAAAAGAAAATAAAAATGGAAAAAGTATGTTAGTTATGTGACAAAACAAATAATATAGTATATATGTGTAAATATCGAAAGAGAGAAAAGAAACTTAGTATAGACGAAAACTTTATAGTTAAATAAGAAACAGTAAAGTGGATGACTTAAAAAATACAAAAAAAAAAAAATAAAAGTACACAGATACGCAAATTAACATGAAAATATTTATAAGTGCTAAAAAAATTATTATATTCTAAAATATTGTAAATTAATCCATTTATTTTACTGATAATGTTTGGAGCATTTAATGGAAAGGGTGAAACTTCTACAGGATCACAACAAAACGACATATGTCTACAGGACTTTCTTTATCCCAATTTTAATGAGGACAATGAACTATAAAAAAAGATTTACTGGAGAAGAACATATCTACGTTACCATTTAACAATGCTGTCTAATTTATATTTACTTCTTATTGGGAAGTATGCGATAAAATATATGAGATGGATTTTGACACATGGATTTTTGTAGCAGATATTCTTTCATTTTCTGCAGCTTCGTCGCAGTTATCTGTATTTTGAACGGGACATAAGTACCAACCACACTATATTTTATAAAAGTTTGTCAAAACTTAAAAATGACTTCAGCAGAAAAGAAATAGCATGGGCTTTGAATAAATGGCACTTGATTGTCTGAAAAGCTAAGTAGTGTGCTGTCGATCGCTCCTGGAATAACAGTCACTTAAGTTACAGTCATTATTCAGAAAGCTTTCATGATGTATTATTAGCAGTAAAGAAATAGCATAGACTTTGATGGTGAGACAAACTTTATTGTTGTCATAATGCAGCTGGGAGTAGTAAGCGGCAAAACCCGCTGAAATAGATGAGTGACATAGAACCGGTTGCTCCTAAAACCAGGTATTTGAAACAGTAGTTATAGTAATAGTAATGTTTAATGTATAGTAATGTTTTTGGGAGAGATGAACGGTACTTAGTCATTGTAAAATATGAGTACCATAACATAGAACCGATAACCCTTGGAACCATGGTTATTTAATTTGATGATTGCAGATATTCAACTGTAGTGATAAATTTATATTTTTTGATTTGAAATATTGGTTCAAAGGGGTTAGTGTTTTTAAATGATCAGATTTATCGATAACACTATATTTCAGAAAAAATATGTAGACAATATACCAATTTTTTTAGTTAAAATAAATTAATCGCAAGTATTTTGAAGTTAAACAAGAATTTTTTTTAACTATAGACTATACTTTAAATGGGTGTAGAGTAGTAATAATAAAAAAGTAATTTGAGTTGAGTTTAATGTAGCACTGCAATCCTTGCTAGATTAGCCATGTAGTGAGTATTATTCAAAGTGCTAAGCACAGATTTTGAATTCCCATTAGGCAGAAATAGAATAAACGTGCAATACTCTTCAATAAAATTTTATTTTTTAATTTCAACATTAACTCACTTGTTTATAATGCCTGGATAAAAAACTATGATATTCAACTGTAAATAGATTTAGTATATACATTATAGCACACCGATATTCTTTGGAGACAAATTATAAAACGTGTGGGCACTTAAACAGAAGAATTAAAAACATCCCCAGTGTGTACTTTAGATCTTACAATTAAATGAAGTCAAACTAATAGATACTGATAGTATTTACATCCATTTTGCTAGAACAATTGTTATAAAATTTCATATAAAAAATATGTACAATGTCAAATTTTGTGGAACACTTTTTTACACGAAGTTTTATATAAATTTTTCGTTCGAAATGGACATAAGTACTGGGCTATAGACGACACTGGTAATACATGCTTGATACCAATATTAGGGTGGCTTATGTTTTCTTAGTTAGTGCATAATTGAAAATAAAAATAAAATAAACTAATTAGAAAATTTGCACAATATTATGTATGTGGGTTAGTTATTAAAAGTTAAATGATGAAAGGATTTAGTAACGTAGGCGCACGTAGTTTTAACTTTCGTACGCAGTAACGTGAAGATTAGTATGTTGGGGTTGTACCTCTTTTTCTTTTTTAAGTCTTGGCGCTGGCACTGGCATTTTTGCAATATTATTCGGCGATTGCTGATGAGATAATGTTGATGAAGCCGACACAAATGATGCACTTGAATCGGATGACGATGTTGTGGAATTATTTGAGGATGATGAGCTACGCAATGCATCTTGTTCAATTAAGCTATGATCCGCATAATCTTGCCAGCAATTACGTTCGAGACGATGTATGCCTGCATGTACAGCTGCAGCTGTAGTCGCTATAACATTGCTATTATAATTGCATTGCCGCCTCGGTGGTACTGGTGGAGATTGCATATCCGGAGGATTATCAAATATTGAATCGGTTGTAATGATTTTATTGGGTGTTGAGGTGTGTACTGGAGTGTGATTTTGTGCTGTTGGCAGTGAACGTGGCATTTGGGGTGGTTTCGTATCAATATGTGAATGTGCGAGTATATATTGCAATGGAGTTTGTTGTCGTTGTTGTTGCTCCTGTCGTAGATGTTGCTGTTGACGTTGCGCTAGCTGCGATGTGTAAGGATGATTGTAATATGAATGCGGCATTGCATTATGATTGGGCATTGTTGATTGTAGCGCTTGAGCTGATGGTGGTGGTGGTCTAGCTGGTGGTGTTCCACCAGTACGTAATGATGATATGCGATGATTGAGCTCTAAGCTGTTGCTTGGCTTAAGCTAAGTATGTTTAAATGTGTGTTGATATGAGTTGTGATTGTGTGGTAGTTGTCATTAAAACAATGAAAAACGTCACAGATATGTGCAACAGAATTATAATAAAAGTAAAAAATAACAGACAAAAAAAACAACATTTAACATAGATTTAAACACGAAGCACATTTATGTAGTTAATAGCAATAGATATTTTAAAGCGATTACAAAGTAATTATAAAAATATTCATTTAAATAAATACTATACTTCTAAAAAGAAATTAATGCTGGAAACTTACACTACGATCCACAATTGGTGACTTAAAGAGCGGATGATTTTGCAGTTCTTGAGATAAATTCATCTCCGACGAACAGAGCGAACTCGCCGGACTAACAGTTGGAGATGAAGCCAACCGATTATGGTGATGAGAAGTATTAATCGCACTGCCCGTATGACCGTTCGAGTGTATGTGCGAACTTGAGCTAGACATGGCCAACGGATTGGCCCTGCGCATTGATTGTGTGGCTCCATTTATTTCTTCAGGACTGGCGTATTGAAAACCACCAGCAGTTATTGACGGTAAATTGCTGCCACTGCCACAGCCGGCAACCGTACGCTTGCTAAATATAGGAGAGCTTGGTGCTGAATGATGACCAATTACAGATTTGCCACCTACGTAGCCGTCAATGCGATCGTGTTGAGAATTTGAAGCCAAATGTGAACGAAAATGTGGATTACTTGGCGGTGTAATATCACGGAACTTTGATTTGAGATCTTTATAGGCTGTTTTTACGCCACGTGAGCCTTCTTTGACCTAAAGCATTGGGTGTTAGTATAAAGCAAATTATTAGTCAATACACATAAATACATATTCAAACAAAGCGTACTACGTTAAGACTATATAATATTATTAATACTATTAGACTAACTACTTCAACATTATTACCACTCACCGATTTTACAGCAGACTTAACAGCAGGATTAGTCTGCAGATTTTAAGTAAGTAGGCGTTTTGAAATTGTTTATTTGATATTCAAAATAGCACGTTAACAATAAACGAGCAAGTGAACAACAAAATTATGAACGCAGCAATTTTTCGGTTTTTTTTATTGCCAAGAATTATCCACAGCAGAGTAGCAAATAGGAGAAAATGTTTTGTGATGTGAGCAATAATTTAACACAAACATGAAAGAATACAGAAAAAATAAATTTTTAATATTAATGATTAATAACTATAATTCAAAGCTAAGTGTGTGCTTCTAAATGTATATGAATACCGAGATAATTGATAATGATAATGATGATGATGTTGGTATATAGGAAAGGTAGTGAGTTATGATTTCATACAGCACATTTTCTGCTTCAATAAGTACTAGTATAAACCATTTTATCATATAATGACACAAAAATTTTGGCATTTTTATAAATAAATCTACGTGTACAGTTAATTTAAAAGCTTAAATTTTTCAATTTTTATCAAATAAATTTTATTTCTTTTTGCTTCAGCAGTTTTGTTAAATTCATTGCCATAGAAAACATTTACTTATAAATGAATAATGTGTGGAGTGAAGTGCAGAGTAAGTACTTTGGTATAAGAATTCAGAATACAAATATTGAAACCAAGCACCATCAGAATGTGTTTTAAGGATTAATTAATTAAAACAGTTTTAATAGTAAACGAAAAGAAAAATATTTCTTATCTCAAGGTATTATACGCAGTATTTTTAATTAAGGGAACAATCTTTAGTCATGTTGTTGAGTTTCACACGAAACAATGAGAAAGTATTTTTCAATAAAACTTAAGCCATTAAAGTTTGCATGATATTAGAGATCAATATGAATATAGGATATATCTATAGCTGAAGTTTAAATATTTCATAGTTTAATGTAGAAAAAAATTGCAATTTAATAATCATGTTTTTAAAAAAAACTTACAGAAACTAATGAGAGAAAAAAAAAAATTCAAAACTTTCTAAAGAATATTTATATATAATAAAAAGGAAATTAAATTTTCTTTCTTCCTTTTTACTACAAAAAAAAAAACTACAGAGATTAAAAGGGATACCTAAGGGCAACCAAACAATGTAATAAAGTGCTTATAAAATCTATCTCCTATCTTCTTGGTCGAGATAATTCATTTTAATCCAAAAATGTTGGTTTTAGGTTAAATAAAACCGATTTAAAATCGAATTAGATAAGACTTGTTATCTAGCTGACTGACATCTTATCAATATAGTCATAGTATAGCAACAGTTTTGAATAATCAAACACACCAAATTAAATTTAAAGAAATCAATTCTAAATATAGAAGATAAAAGAGAGAGTCACCATAAACATCTTCTTCTATATTCCTTTATTTGTATAAAATTTGCCAGGGAACTAATATATTTTACAAGGAATAAAAGTATAAGTCCTAAAAAACTTTGTTTATCCGTGTGGATTAAAACTATTATGTAGAATAATATCGGCTATTGTAATTCTTTTCATATTTCCTAATATATATATCTTCACGGATTACAACAATAACAATATAACTACATCTATAAATATAAATTTATTTTTTATAAATTTATAATTTATAGATAAATAAAATATTAACAGATTGAAAAGAAGTTTAAAATTGTAAAGAATAAGGAATTTTTTTCATCTCAACCCAGATTGTTTCAAAGATATGATAATAACTTCTGAACAGTATGTACAGGTAGTGTACGTACTGATAGTGTAGAATACTTAGAATTACTTAAAAAACTATTTCAAAAAGGGTTTTGTGAAATGATAGTCATATGGATTGGATTTATAAATGAAGACAATTTTTAATGTATACACCATATATAACACAGTTATAAAACAAATATGTGAAAAAACTATAATTATCTAGTGGAATATATTAAAGTGAGCTGTATTGGTCCCAAGAAACCAACTCTAAGAAAATTATTAGTATTATTAAATTTGAAAACTACAGCTTTAGACTGAAATACGTATTTATTCCTAATATGTGGTTAAACTGTACCTCAACGCCCTTACGCCCCCCCCCCTATCTATTGTCTTATCACACTGCATACACAAATCTTCGTCCAATCGACCTTTGGACCTACCTCATTGAAGTGGTCATGTTTCTCCATTTGTCCCACAGGTTGATTTTAATTTAAACCCCACCCATCTCCAATATGCATCATCTGCCTAATTCTCCGTATCCTTAATCAACTATCAGACGTCCACATCCTAAACCATGTATTCGTCTTGTAAATCCCTTAATGTTCATATTAGAAACCAGCGAGCTACAACAACCACCAAGGCACATAAACCACCCAAAAGGGACATAAACAACCACATTCTTACGAAATGTTAAATGATATTTAACCAGGAGATTATGGCGTAAAAGAAAGGTTATAACAAATACACAAGCCAATTCTAAGAACTGCCTTTCAACAAACAATGATGATGCCAAACAATCATCACTAACACACGAAACAAAAACAATGTGGTGAACTAGATAAAGCCCAGGTTCATTGATGAATGATATTCAACCAGTAGGTTATAGTGTAAAAAACGGTCATAACAAAATACACTAGCCAATTATAAGAGTTAAGCTTCAACAAACAATGATCTGATTAACTAATATGAGAAACAATAACAATGGGGTGAATCAGCAATTGAACTGGACATTCTGGTTCAATATGGAATATATCCACTGTATAAAAGTGGGACGTACTAATAAAACAATGTGATTTTTTATATGATAGGGAAGAGAACTACAAAACAATCAACAAATGAGCACATTTAGTCGTAAGTAAAAAAGATAAAACATTTTATAATTACAAATAAGTAGCAGACCAATATGATGCGTTACCAATTACTTTTATTCGTGATCCGTACTGCTTTAGCAAAGAAGATTTAGATCATTATTTACTGAGACGCAGCTAAGGGAATGGAATTTTAGAGGTAAAAAACTTATATATTTACAAAACTGCATATTATCTTATATACTAAAGTAATATTGTGATTTTATTGAGATCATCATATTAATTTCAGTTTAAGAGGTGACAAAATGTAATTTCCAAAAATAATATTTATACAAAAATTTAAGTGAATTCAAGTAGAAGACAATTATAAGAAGACAATTGTTCTGTGAATATGTTCTGAAGTGCAAATCTATACAAATTTTTGTGTTGTGCTCTTATTGCAATACGTGCCAGTGTTAGTTAATTACAAAACAACAAAAAAAGATTTGAAAAAAAAAAATAAAATAAAATATAATTTAAAAAGCAAACTATTACTACAATATAAAATTACATTAATTAAATTAAAAGTTATTACGAACTTTTTTCGCTGTTGGCAACGAGTCGACTAATATTGTTATATATTAAATAACAATTTAAAATTTTAAGTTGGTAGGAGTTGTTTTTTTTCATTTTTTTTTTTGTTTTTACAGAATATTTTTAATTTTTTCTTAAACGTATTTTTAATTGTTGTAGGTTAAAATAGATAGGAAGTACTTTGGTTTGTAAATACTCTTGAGATACTGCGTTTACCCAAACTATACTGTAAAAAATAATAAAATGATTAAGAATTTGAAAAATGCATCAAAGTATAGAAAATAATAAATATTATATGTTTATTAAATAAAATATTTATATATATGTAGATTTGAATTAACAAAAAAATTGTTAAAGCAGAAATGGTGAAAAGGAGAATGCTTAAGCTGTTATCTGAGGAGATATTTTCGGTGATAGAACTAAGTAAGTTACAGATTGCTACGTATATATACTATGCTATATATAACGCTTACCGATTTAAGGTTTCTTATCCAAAAACGTTTAGTTAACAGCTTAAACAAAAGTAATAGGAATATAGTAATTGCATAATTTATAAAACATTTTCATTGTACGGATATCATTTCTGTAACCAATAAGTCTATTTGTTCAGCTAAAGGATTTGAAAAAATGAATATAATACAAATAAATACGCGGATTAATAACAATACTTTATGTAAAAAATAATATGTCGGATTATAAAAAAATATCACTGTTAAATATACACAAAATATAAATCTTTTTTTTTTACAATATGGTACAAAATTAATAATTGGTTGTATATGAGTGCTTTTTGTTGTGTATTGTAAGGTGACACAATATAGAAGTGTATATGCATATGTATAAAGGCTTTTTAATAAATAATTGAAACAATGATTGAGAACAGTTTCACCAAATATAACAAGACAAAACAGCTAAAGCAACTTTCACAGCCAGGCACATAAAAACCAACTACATATATTTGTAATTGTTAATAGCCTAAAAGCATTTCGTATAAAGCATCATAAGATCTATTTTTTCTTATTGGATTTAATTTTCCCATAAAAATATTTGGTTTGATTAACGTATGTCTTACCTTGTCTTTAACGGTTCTAATGAAAGCTAAATTTCTATTTCGTTTCTTCATTTTTTCAGCATAACGCACAGTTTCCATTTCAAACTCATCCGAAAATCCTAAACCTGTATTAAGCATTTCCAATCGTTCATCGATGAATTGTTGAAATATTTGTAATTCCATCATTTTCTCT